TCCTGTCTGGAATTGAAGCAAAAGTATAAGATTTCTTTACAATCAGTCTGAATGAAAAATATTTCTATTGGGGAACTTACATGAAATATTGTCCCTTAAATAAAAAAAAAATTAAAAAGACAGCCCAAAGAGCCCAATCCTTAAAACAACTGACACTTGTATTAAGAGAGTAAACACTTCTCTGCCTACACATCACCAAATGAACACTGTGCACATCAGCGAAACACTGTCTTTCAGAATGCAGTGGTCTGTTCTGAAGATAATAGTAAGGCAGCACCACTCTAACAACAAATCACTGGCGGGTTTCATAATGCAGCAGAACAGAAAACGGCATGCAGCTGACACAGAACATGCTCCTCATCTGGAACAGAGACAAAACTGTGCTTCATTTGAGGTTTTTAGTTCTAGGATTCCACCTTCTGAAAAAAAAAGTGTTTCTGCTACTCTAACATTATCCACACTCTTCTTACTTTTAGGAACAGCATAAAAACTTGCCATCTAAGAGATCATTAACTACCAGTGAAACTCATTAAACTTTATTTTTAATTTGCAGCTTCTTAAACGAGGAGTTGTTCTGCTGGTTTCAGCTGGGGTAGAGTTCATTTTCTTCACAGTGGCCAGTATGGGGCTGTTTTGGATTTGTGCTGAACACAGGGTGGATAATACAGAGATGTTTTTGTTATTGCTCAGCAGGGCTTACACAGAGCCAAGACCTTTTCTGCTCTTTGTACTTCCATGGTGGTGAGGAAGTTGGTGGTGCATGGAAGACTGGGAGATAACAGCTGGGACAGGTGACCCCAACTGACCAAAGGGATTTGCAGACCATGTGACACCATGCTCAGGACATAAAGCTGAGGGGAAGAAAGGGAAAAGGTGGGCCATTTGGAGTGATGGTGTTTATCTTCTCAGGTAAGTGCTACACATGATGGGGCCTTTCTTTTGTGGAGATGGCTGAATAGCTGCCTACCCATGGGAAGTGGTGAATTAATTCCTTGTTTTGCTTTGCTTGTGTACACTGCTTTTGTTTTCCCTATTAAACTGTCTATATCTCAAGCCATGAGTATTCTGTTCCTGGTCCCACTGGTGGGGAAGTGAGCAAGTGGCTGCCTGTAGCTTGTCTGCTGGCTGGCATTAAACCATGACAGCAGAACACTGGTGAAAGTTATGAATCAGAGACATTGGTAAATTAATTCACTTTGTAAGCATTGCTTAGGCTGCTTCCTATCTACAGACATTTTTGCTGTTTTCCACAATTACGAAATAATAAAACCCATCCACCCTTCTTACTCCTTCTATCAGTTTGTCCCCATCACTTACACTGTTCATGTAAACAAAAAGACTTTTTTTAATATCCTTTATTTGCAGTTCTGCTGCCTAAATCCTACACAGAAGTTCAGGGAAACTGTGAGAAAGTTCAGATCTGCACAACAGTAGAAACAAATACACCAAAGGCTAGTACTTTAAATTCAGAACCACTGGCTATCTTTCACAGCTGAGGACTCATCTACACAAACATCCTTCTTCAGCACCATCTACCATGCAACACTGCCAGACCTACACTTCACCTCATGTAGCATCTTACCTGACACACTCTGAAGTCTTTATGAACATCTCAGTTTCCTGGCTGGACTTCCATACTTTCATAACTTTTTCAAGAACCTCTCAACTCTGAATTTCCACAGTCCAAAACACAGCTGTGGGATTCTGCATTTTAGAAGCAAGATTTTACCGCATGTTTTCACCTACTCTCTCATACATTTAGATGCATGTGAATGTACCTATTTTTTCCTATCAAAGTATTCAGATTTTTCCCTGGAACTGTCAACACTTCGAAACATTTTCATATCTATGCATTAACTTATATTTTGCAATATGAAAATCCAGTGGAAAACCACAAGACATAGGTCAAGTAATTCTGCCCCCCACCCTCACGCAAGCTCTAAGAGCTTGTGTGATCTGAAAAAAGATCTACAGAAATCTCCCACCGCAGCAACTCTACTGAAGTTACATAGTTCTGCTCTTACAAGGAGCATTGCAATTTTAGATGCAACAATTTTTTTTTTTACATCTTTCAGGGAAGAATAGGCTTCTCTATACATGGCCCAGGAAGGGGCCTGTCTAAACAGAACTCACATACAAGGGCAGCAACTCCTACTACTCAGGAGCAGAACACTTAGATGCTCGGTTATCTTCCTGCTACAACCACAGGACACCGTCAGCTATTTAGTAAATAGCAGGGAGGAGTAGAAACTGAAAGTAATACACAAGATTCTTTGAGGGGGAGGGTGACAATGTAGAATTAATACTGTTGGACTGATTTTAAAATCAATAGCATTTTTGCAAAACAAAACTGAAGAGGTTACCTGCTGAATCTCAGCCACCGTTACAATACTAACAGCTACCAATTTTCCTCAGCTCTTCTGCCTTTTCAGAGATGACTTTCGGGGTTTATCGCACTTGCTTGCTTGCTCGCTTTACCTCACTAGTGCTTATTCATTAACTTCAGAGATAAGACTTCTTAAAGATACCAAAAAGTATGCTCCTGTCCTACCAGCGGGGATTTCCACATATTACCAACAGATGGCTATTATGTGCACACATGCAGTTGTACACATGACAGTTTGAAGTAAAAAATGAGTTTTAATGAGCTCAACTATATCCAATCCAACTTCTTTAATTAAGGATCATTTTCTACTTTAAGAACCTTTGCTTGTGTGCCTAGATGCAAGTCACACAGAAACTAAAGGAAGTAGAAAGGAATTGAGATAATTGACAGAAAATCCTCAGTCATTTAAACAAAGACAAATAACGCTAATTCACTAATAAAGTGAATAAAAAGATGAGTAAGCTAAAGCCTACTCCATGAACACAAAATGAGGGAGAACAAGAGCTATAGAATTACATCTTTTTCCCTATTAAATGTAATATTTAAGAGCATTGCTTGGTTCACACCTATCATATAAACGGATAGGTTTAAAACTAAACTCTATGTTCTCAGTTGCTTACACACTTTATATTTAGCTTGCTATTCCCAGAATGTTATTTAGAAAAATGACATTTTTATCCTACCAGAAGTCCATGATGATTCATAAGCAACCACAAATCCTTACAAAGGAAGATTTATTTTGCTCTGCCCACCTCCATGACAAATCTGTAGTTTAGCTTTCTTTACGCTAAACCCACATATTTGCATGATTTGCTGAGAAAACGCATATTTAACCAAGCAGCTTTTCTAAAGATTACTCTCACATTTGGTATTTACCAATATCATACAACAATCTAGACACAAAGGGTTTTTAACACAAATAACTGACAGGTACAGTGTACAGCTACAAACATAATTAGCCTGAAAAAGGCAGTAGAATATTATGCTACAAAAAGAACTGCTAGCAGATTAGTTTTTATATATATTGATATATATTAAAAAAACCAAAACCTGCTGAAACCTAATCCTGACTCAGTGAGATAAAATATTAGCCGTAAACTGCAGTAACTGGTGTGCTTTTCAGGCTAATATCACAACTAAATACAAGTCTGATATGTAATAGAAAATTTAAATGTTCAACTAATTATGATCACAGGAAAAAAAGCCAGAAATCTTTACTTTGCTTGGTAAAACCAGAGTAATTGTAAACAGGGGCAAAAGGGTTTGAGATCCATGAGCAACTGGAAGTCCTTCTGCTGAGATCACAGTCACCTGCATCTTCATTTCTTCAATTCTAATATATATTTTTGCTTACTAACACTTTTGTAAAGTACAATTTTGTAAAGGTACAAAATTACTCAGTAATTTGGAGAGAGTGGGTGAAGAGCAAAGTGGTTCCTAATTTTTCAATGCAGAAAGCAATTTTTCTCCTTTATGCATATTTCCTTAGACCAGCCTTACGGGCACAGATCAGTTTTATATAAAGCATACTTGATTTGTAAAGAATTACTATGAAAACCAAGAACATATGCTCATGTTTTTGAGTATGTTGCTAGAACAACCTACCACAAAGAGTGGTTCTCAGCAAGTTCATTAGCTTTTAACACATGAGTAAATGTGACACTTCATATGACTAAGCCTTTTAAGAATTGGCAATTTAAGATTAAAATGTATCAATTTAAATAAAAATGTTATAACCCATGTTAAAAACCAGTAAATTAAAAAGTAAAAATACAGCTATAAACACTTTATATATTAGAGTTTATGAGAACAGAAGATTTTTTTTTTATGTCAGGCTCTTTAAGAAGTAAATTAGTAACTTTACCTCTATTTACCACAGTGAAAGTGAAAAAACTAAGTTACCTTTAACACTTTTTCTGTTCACATCAGCTCCTTTTTCAAGTAAATACTGAGCTATTTCTTTGTGGCCTTTGTAACATGAGATCATCAAGCACGTATGCCCGTGACGGTTTGATACTTCCAGGTCTGCTTTGTGCTCCACAAGGTATTTGACTATTTCCAGGTGACCATCAAAACAGGCAGCTCTAAGAGGCGTTGAATTTGTCAGTGTTGTGTTGTTGACAGACGCACCATGATCCAACAGACACTGAACAACCTTCAAGTGGCCGGCGGCTGATGCTGCCCACAACGGCGGAGCTCCCTCGATGGTCTCACCATCAAAATTCACAGAGCCACCAACCTCTATTGAGGCAGAGCAATGGTCCAACAAGTACTCCACCATGTCCAGATGACCATAGCGGGCTGCCATCAAAAGTGGTGTGGCACCATTGGTTTTTTCTGACATCAGTTCGGCCACCTCTTCCCTTGTTTTGCTTGCCAGTAGCTTGGACAGGAGCCGCAGCTTGCCATCACGAGCCGCGTTGAAGACTGCCGTCTTTAGATCCATTTAGCCTGTACCTCTCTGCTTCCGGATGGATACACACCTGAATTTTTCAGCCAAGAGTTTACTGGAAGTGCTCAGCCCAAACAGAATGTCCCCAACTTCTTCTCAGATCAATTTCACACAGATAGGACAACATGGAGACTCCAAACAGGGTCCTGACGAAGCGCAGGTATGCTTATCACAAATCTGCAAAAGGAGAATTCTCGATGTTTTCACCTCCTACTTCGCAAACAAGCAACCGCATTGTATTTTCCCACAGCTACACCCAAACAAGTCGCTGTTGTGGCGCGCCGGTGTCCAGCGGCATTCCTTGGAACTCCCGCGGGCCGCGCGGTGGCCCCTGAGGAAAGCTACGGGGAGGAGGGGGCTGATCCTACCAGCGCGTTATCCATACCAGACACAGAACGATCCTCTTCTCCCCCATTCCTCCGTCAGCTGCACCCCCGACTCCTTTCGGGGCATTTCCCAAGTACAGAGCCCCGGGCTCCCGCCAGAAGACCCGCAGACACGCACCTCCAAGGCAGCCGGGAGCGGAAGGCGACGGCCGTATTCCGGCCAAGCCTCGGACGGCGGGGAGAGCCCGAGCCCTCCGCCCGCCTCACGACCGGACCCGCTACGCCCAGAGCCCGGTGGCCCCATCTCCCTCCCTCCTTTCCCACACGGCATCCAACCCCCGTGGCCGCCGTGCTCGGAACCGGCCGGAAAGGCCCGCCAGGCCGCGCGCTACCTTCCCGGGGCGGTCCGGACCGTCTCCCGCCGCCGCCGCCGCCGCCGCCGCCGCCGCCGCCGCCGCCGCCGACGACCTCAGAGGGACGCCCCCACCACCTCTGCCCGCGCTCCGTCCGGCGCCTCCATGACAGCCGGGCCCCGCCGCCAGGGCCGGCCCTGCGCAGGGGGCGGGACGCCCTCGCCGCGGCCAATCAGAGCCACGCCCCGCGAGCCCGGGGCGGGACTACGCCGCCGCTCGAGGGCGCCGTGCGGGCACAGCCGGCCGCTAGGGGGCGGCGGCAGGAGGAGCGCGGGGCCCGGGTGTGAGGGGAGCGCCGGGGTCCCACAGGATCCCACAGGATCCCACAGAGGTACTTTGGGAATGCACTTCATAGACACGCCGTGGGCTTTGTACGGACACATCTGTGCTGTATACCGGCACTACTGTGCCCCGTCCTTGCTCCGCAGCGCGCGGGAGACAAGGAGCTGCGGGAGCGGGTCGGCAGAGACCCCACCAGTGATCTGGGATCAGGAGCACCTCCCGTACGAGGAGAGACTGCGGGAGCTGGGCTTGTGTAGGTCGCAGAAGACTGAGAGAGGTGTCATTAATGCATGCAAATATCTCAAAATGGGGTGCCAAGAGGATGGTGCCAGGTTCTTTTCAGTAGTGCCCAGCAGTAGTATGAGGAGTAATAGCCATAAACTGCAACACAAAAAACTCCACTTCAGCGTGAGGAAGAACTTTACACTGAGAGTGGCAGAGCACCGGAACAGGCTTCCCAGAGAGATTGTGGAGTCTCCTGCTCTGGAGATATTCCAAACACACCTGGATGCATTCCTGTGTAATCTGCTGGAGATGACCCTGCTTTGGTGGGGGGATTGGACTGGACGGTCTCCAGAGATCACTTCCATCTCTAACTATGTTATGATTCTGTGATTCTGTACATATATGCTTCACAAATTAAAAAAAAAAAAAAAATTGATTAAAAGTCCAATTTTTTCAAATTTTTTGCAGCACAGAGGAGGATCTGGACAATGTTGCTGTCTGGTGCAAAGCTTGTTTTTCTCGATTGAGATTGCACATGGCTTGCTACAGGCTTAGAATGTGGCATTTATTGTGTTCCTATGATAATAGAGAGAAAACTCCTAAAAAGAATGCAAATTCTGTCACAACTGAATATGTTACCTCATATGTTTTCTCAGAAAGGAGAAAACAATTAAATTTGTAATTGTAATTTTATGTACAAAAGCAATGTATCAGAGTCTGGGTAACCCTTTGTACCTGGTGCTGGCAATATGATGCACAGGCTGCTGGCTGTTTTGTCTGCAAGACTCAGAAGAAGAAAGACCATAAGAAACTGGTGGAAAATTAGAATAAAGCCATTAAAATTTTTAAGGAAGTGGTGGTATTGATTTGTGGAGATGCATTAAAAGACCTAACTGTGTGAAAATATTAAATTAAAAGGAAGTGGGGGAAAGAAGAAAAGGGAATATATTCAAGAAATGCAAGTGGAATGGAGGATTTATTTTAAGAGAGTTGCCAGGTGTAGTCAACAGCAATTGAAAACAAAATGAACAGATGAAAGAGCATACTTAGCATCAAAAATAATATGCTGGTAGGGAGGCTCTGCCAAGCCAGAAAAATAATTTGAAAGTTGTGGGAGCTAATTGATAGTCTTGGTGGGCTGTGTAAATCATTGCACGTGTAAATAAGGTATTATAGGGAACAGTTCTGTGCTGGAGGGAACATGGAGATGATAACCGGACTGACCTTCCCAGTTCCATCACTGGAGTTTTCAGGGCAGGCAGTAAGCAGTGCAGTCAGCTCTCGTGGGCTTGCAAACTGCAGGGCAGTGGGTGCAGTAATGCGTCTGTGGGTGTCAAACACAGCCTGTTCTCACCCCTCTCCCAGCTCTGATTAGGCCAAGGTCCTGGGACAGGATCCAGAGGAGGAATATTGGTCAAGTAGGCCAGAAGGGAACAGGAATGGCTTCTGCAGAGATTTAATGCCTGGACCATGGCAGAAGATAAATCCTTGCATGCAACCACAAGGCACACTGTTGGGGATTTTAGACACTGCCTATCAGCCCACTGGGCTTCTTCTTTATATAAAAATATCTTACTCCTGTGACAAATAATAAGTCTGCCTTGATATTTCTGACATCTACCTTAGAGTAACTAGGTGTAGTCATGTATGAATTAAGCAGAGAAATTAATTATTCAACAGGAGTTATACTTCTCTAAGTGTCCTGATGCTACTTTACTCTTTCATATCTCATTATACATATATCTTCAAGAATCATTTATATTTTAAAAGGCCATTCTCATGATTTAAGTGGACTTAAGGAGGTCTGACAATGTGGTTGCCTCCTGACTGCTGTTCTATGAAGTTCACATTTTGATACTGCTTTGTGGAGGAAGCACTTTCTTGGCAGTACCTGGCTCTGGGGGGCACTGAGAGCCAGCATGGCATGGCCCCAGCCTGCACCTCCCTACTGCAGTTATTGTCTGGCTCCCAGAATGAACCTAAGCCCTACTTCCTAGAGGTAAAAAGCAAATATTTTGACCCAGTGTACCAGAAGCACCATGAAAAATAAGAGATACCAATCCATGCTTTAAGGTTTCAACTTCAATAATTCATAACTAGTCAATCTGTCATGGGCACAGTGCCAGTGACAATTTCATTTGCCTTACCTCCCCCTCTCTTTGGCCCATTGCCGAATGTAGGAAAAATGGCCCCATGCCCATGGGGAAGAGGGGTGTTGATGCCAGGCTGGGATCTTTGGTGGTGCCACAAACACAATGCATGCCATTGAAAAGAGCAAGTCAGTCTTGATGCTTGTTCAGTTTTGCAGTTTCCCTCCTCAGAACACTCTGGTTTTGAAAGCTGTGAATGGAGAATGGTGTTAAGTGAAATAATAGTGTTGTGATTACTTAGTTCTCACCTCAGGATATTCTTGTCCTCACAGCTGTTCACAGTAGGCAGCAGCAGGGATTTGTCACATACACAGGGGACTAACGTGCTATCCACCTTGCAGACACATCTTGTTTTGTGTGGACCAGTTGTCCCCTTAGTGTCTGGGTCACAACTCTGTAGCACTGTGTCTCATACACCAGTGCTTTACTGTTACATTCGCATCACTCATTCTAGATTGAAGAATTTATATTAATTTTGTCTACAAATGGTAATACAATAAGGAAAAAGTCACAGGTCACTAGACAGATCTTGACAGTGTGTCACCTGAAAACCCCACTGAAGGGTTTTCAAGATTGCCATTGATAATATTTTGAAAGTCAGATTCTGACTTCAGCAAGAGATGTGGTTGTAAAGTGCTGTATTCAATTTCAACCCTTCACTTCCTTATCCCTACAACACCAGGTGCAGAGGTTTCTTCATATTCAAGGCAGACTATGCTCAGCAATACAGCAAAGAGAAATCTAATCTAATTCACATCTCAGTTGTTAGCTTTGGCTCTAGAAGGCATATATATGCATTAATACAGTGATTTCTTCAAATTCTTTATCCCACTTTTGTTCATGCAACATTTGGTATCCCCAGCATAATGATACTTTTGTCAGGCCCCAAGCTAACTCAAAAAAATCTGTGTTACATTTTGCAAGGTGGACAAGCACTCTAGCTCCTCTGTATTTTGTCTGCAATCTGTGTCTTCCCTAAACTGGCACCCAGTTGCCTACACAGACCTGGCTGAGAGTCAGGTCAGGAAGGCAATATAAGATATTATATCAAGTAGGCTTCCAAAAAGGGGAGCTAGAGCAAATGGCAAGCTGAGCAGACAGATGCGTAAAGCATTTGTGCAACTGCCTGCGCGTGAGCTAAGGCTAAATTATGTAATCAATTGAAATACCTGTTCAAGCATAGCCTGAACCCTAGGTGTTCCCTGAAATACCTTGACTACTGGGCAACAAGGGAGGGATGTCAGACTGCTGCAAAACTTACCTTTTTAAAGCTCCTTCCTGATTGTCAGTACTTGGCCACACCTCGGGCAGCCCCAAGTGGTATCACAGATACCACCACTGATGCTACATGCAATCACTGAAACTTGCTCTTAACCGTGAATATTTATGTGTTTTCATATAAAGCAGAAGTGCTTTGTGAGGGCAGAGAAACCTGTGCTAGAAATGTCTGTTGCCAGGGGCTCAGACACTGGGGGGAGACCCCTGCATTTGCTGGCCAGGGATGCAAACCTGCATGCACCCCTGGGCCAGGGCCAGGATGAGGGCTGAAGGAACCTTCTCACCTTGGCTAAGCCTGAGCAGTGTCTATGTGTGCTGCATGACAAAATACCCCTCTCTCCCTCAGGAGAGCAAGCACCACGTGCCTTATACACACTCTCAGGTTGGGGAGATCTTACACATGAAGTAGTCACATGTATAGGCTTAGTCTCCTAAACTGTTCTTGCTCAACATTAGGTGACATTAATAATCTAGATGTTCAACTTCTGGTCTAAAACCCCAAACTTTCATATGGAAGTGCAATCTAGACAAACCAGATGACAAAGTTTCTTCCTTTAACTGGAAACTCTTCTTTCTACCATCCTCACCATAAAATTCTGGGAGCTGAATCATTAGTTGTTGTATAAGCAAACAGACTTGTGCAGATTGGTGTTAAAATCATGAGAAATTATGAGATGGCTGAAGATGTGAGTCGGCAGGATCTGAAAAGTTCTGGCATGTTTGCTGACCCCCTCCCTGCAAGCTGTGAGCTTTCCTTGTCCCTTGGCATTTAACTCACAGCTGACCATAGAACCTGTCTGCAATCTGCCTGTGGACACAGGCTGAGACTGAGAGGTCTGGTCTCAGGAGGTGCCTCTTTTCTTATGAGGAAATAAGCATTTCTGCCTATTCACCCTGGTGTGTAATGATGACATTTTGTTTCCAGGGGAGTCAAGGTTTTGTTCCAATTATCCTTAATAGTATTTGGCTCTCTAATTTTTTCTGTATTATGAAAACAGGGAAATAAAAAGATAATGATCTAAGTTTGTTTACAATATGTAAAAAGTTTTACAGATAATATTAATTTTATAACTATTAAATTATACATTTGTATAGCTGTATGCCTGTATGTATATTTTTTCATATTATAGAAATAATTTATAGATTAACTTCCCTCAAATACATGCAGTAGTTTAGTAATGGAAATATGCCACAGGACACAGATGCTATTCCACATGATACAAGGATTCTAAATAAGGCAATTTTAAAGGAATTCAGAGATTTTATACATTCTAATTAACCTACAGCTTTCCACATTATTTTGGTGTTTGATGTGCAAGGTGCAAATTTCCTTTCCTCTCTCCATTGCCCTGGTGTTAATTCAAGAGGTTGAAAGTACATTGACAGAGATTGCAATTTTCAGATGTTCAACATTTATATTTTTTAAATCAGCAGCAGTTGTGCACCTAGCTTTTAAGGCAGTGTTTGCCAAGCCTGTGAAAGCTGAATTTCTCTTCCAGATGACAAAATTTTCTCCCTCTCCTGGCAATCCCTGGCATGCATTCCCTGCACATCTGAATTCATATAACCTAAGACATTCCTGCTAGCCAATACATGACAATACATTGACTATTTAGTATGGTATTCTGGTAGAAACTCTCCTAGGCTACATAGCAGGTCTTGAGCAGTAAGACTTGTAAATTTTCAAGGTAAGATTTAAATGTAGCAAAATCAACTACCAGAGTAAATTTCATTACCAAAGCAACATTTGCAAAATACGAGATAGTCTCAGATTCATGAGAACAGTGGTTTAAAGCTGACAATTGTCTAAGATAGAGATTTTTTTTAAAGGCACAAAAAATAGCTTAGCTTTACAAATTATCTGGCTTAGCTCATGGTATTTAACTGTGCCATTATTTGGTAAAGCCAGGTTGTTCATTTTGCTAGTCATGCTGGGATTGACTGGTGCTCTACCATGGTGTGATCTATCAGAGACATGTTGGGAATGTATTGTGATTTTGTTTACAGTTGATTG